TACACTGTACACTACTTACTGCACCAGTATACACACTACTTACTGCACCAGTATACACTGTACACTACTTACTGCACCAGTATACACAGTACTTACTGCACCAGTATACACACTACTTACTGCACAACTACACACTATAGACTACTTACTGCACCAGTGTACACTATACACTACTTACTGCACCAGTATACACTATACACTACTTACTGCACCAGTATACACACTACTTACTACACCAGTGTACACTATACACTACTTACTGCACCAGTATATGCTACACACTACGTACTGTACCAGGATGTACTGTATACTGCATCTGCCATCTGATTATGTAAGAGGGAGAAGAGACCTGGACACAGACACTAAGCAGACGGGCCTTGGTTGAGGTCAGCTGGTGACAGCGACCCAGAACAGGCAGCGCTGGAGGACCACTGTCAGTGGTCCATGCTCCAGAATGGGCGATGGGCCTAACCAACCAACCATCTGATTATATAAGAGAGAGAAGAGACCTGGACCAACCAACCAACCAACCATCTGATTATATCAGACCAGTGCTCTGGGACCAGTTTTCTGCAAGTGCTCTTCAAATTAGTTTTTAGAAAGGACCCAAAGCAATAAACCAAACCTAATCATAAAAGGCCCCTTCACCTCCATTATTAACCATATGCCCTAGTCAAAGTCGTTATTGCCTTGAGACCTGCAATCTGTACTGTTTTGAGGCCCTATAATTTATTTATGTGCCTGTGGCTCTACTTATTCTTTTGTTTGTCACTTTACCATGCTTTCCACCTAAAGTGTTTACCTGACTACAAATACTGCAGACAAGAATCACTTTTTTCTTATCAGAATTACTTCCTATGGAAGCCCATTTCTGCCACTTAAAAATAACAACATACATACATACATACTGTTGGTATGGTTCTAACCTAAGACAGTATCTCAAAATTATGACTTGTAATCAGAAAATTTTGCCTTAGTATCTCATAATTTTGCCTTAGTATCTCAAAGTTATGACTCAGTATCTTGAAATTGATTTTTTTTCAATCTCATAATTATTATGTAATATCTCATAAATATGACTTAGTAGCATGAAATTATGAAAGTATCATGAAATTATGACTTGATGTCTCATAAATGTGACTTAGTATCTCAAAATTATGACTTCTTGTACTTATGAGATAATACACAGGATTTTTTAAACGATAGCCTACTGTAGATTGTCATGATATTAAGCTTTTCACTAAATTGAGTTGTATAATGCTCTGTTTATTCTATAGGATGACAAATCATACATATTTTTCTTTACAGATTCAAGAATTGCATTTCTATATCATGCAAACACATATACAGATACACAATAGTAAATATGTATTTAAATGTATCATGTATAATTTCTTCGCAGTGATTATCTCAAACATTATCTGTGTTTTATAAAGTTCTTAATCCTAACCTATAAAACATCCCAGTGTTAGATGTAAGTAGTACTATTATCAGTTTTGTCATTTCTGAAGAACTGTCCTTGCAAACATACCCACACGAGTAATAACAAAGCATTTATAAGATGTTATGTTTTGAATCTAGATGTAAGGAAGGCTTATAAGCGAGCCCTGGTACTACTGAAGCAATACTTTGGAAGATGGCAAGGAGTCACCAAGCAGTCGTCTTCTCCACATTGACCATCAAACATTCACACAGATATTTGAAAGATATTGAGTAGAGAATAACTAGAGCTAAGCCAACAACACTCAAGTACTGAGAACATGATGGCCAACAAACAGCACAGCTGCCACGTTACAGATTCTCACATCTTGTACTATATTTAGCAATTAGCTCTTTCACAACACCAAACAGAAACAGTGCATTTCTAAATAAAACATGAGCTTGATTTCCAGCCAACAGAACAGAACCATAGCACAGTTAGCTTACACAGTCTAGGGTTTTATGTACTAATTTGGCAGATGCTTTCACCGAAAATAAGTAAGAAGGCAAACTTTAACCACTGAGCTATCACTGCACCCAAATCAAATAACTACAAAGACAATTGTAATAATTGTAATAATGAATAGAATTATTCCAGCATAAAGCAGGACACGGGATTAAAACATGCCATGGCATGCTGTTATAAGAACATAATTAACAATGGGATCATGAAGTGTTTTATTTCTCTTATACCACAACAACTTGCAACAATTACCATTTTCAGTTTATTAATGAAAGATATTTTGTGCCTAACATTTTATAGTTACATTTAATATTATGGAATGTCCATGAGACAATTTAATTCCTGTTAACACATGTGACTGAGAAGTGTGTGACTGTTACAAAATGCAGAAACTGGAGTTTGGTGTGGTAGCTCAGTGGTTAAAACAGTGGACTTCTGATTGGAAGATTGTGGGTTCAGATCCCATCACTGTCATGTGGCCACTGCAAGGCCCTTAACCCTCAACTGCTCAGTTCCATAAAATGAGATAAATGTAAGTCACTCTAGACAAGGGTGTCTGATAAATGCTTTAAATGAGATTCCTTCCTTAAATATCTCCTTACAGAAATCCTCCCCATATCAACAATTGCACATGTGTTAAATAAAACCATGTTTTTAAATCTATTTATTATAAGGCTTAGTGCAGTGGTATAAATGACAATAATGTCAGGTGAAATACCTCACCAAAAAAGTGTAATGGGAAAATTAACACAATTATCCACCAGGGGGCAGTACAACTCTGACCAAAGCCACTGATAAACCTCAGCCTTCAACTACAACTAGGAAAGCTCATTCTAAAAGAGAGAAGGGAAATTGTTTTTCTTTTTTAATAATCATTTTAATCTCCATTTCTAATTGCACAGGTAGGTAGATTCATGCAAAAATATAGCCAAAGTGGAGAATTAATAGTAAATATAATAGTAAATACAATACACTATAGACTCTTGAAATAGTGTAGCTATATATTGGTATGAAGCAGAAATTTTTTATTTAATATAAATTTAGTTTTGGCTGAACTGTACGTTTAATTTAAACTAGACTGAAACACATTTTTAACAGGTTCATGACGGATTATAGTTTAGTTTAGAGGCATGATAATCAAAGTGGTCAAGGGATTCGCAGTGATGTGTCACATACAGCCAGGGGGATGCTATTTATTTATTTATTTATTTATTTATTTATTTATTTAAAAACTACTACAAACTACTACTGATATGATTCTTGTGGAGCTTATTTAGTTATTATAAGCCTAGCTGACTAGTCACTTGAATAGTTAACTCGTATAGATTTACTAATTGTTTTTAATTGTTGTAATAGTCTTTAGTAATTGTTTCATTTATTTTCAGTAACCGCTTTATCCTGGTGAGGATTGCAGTGAATCTGGAGTGTATCCCAGGAACGCTGGTTGCGAGGCAGGAATACAGCCTGGATTGAACACCAGTCCATCACTGTGCTATATGGGATTAAAATGACTCCAATCACACAGTGTTTTTTTTTCTAATGTAACTCAATACCTCTTATTTCAACACAGCATAACAAGTTTTGGGTTCTGTGTGTGGGACGTGCAGGAGAACTCTAATGTCTTTAATAAATAGATAATACATATTTGCTTAATGTGCTTAATATTTGAATAGCTGGGTTCTTTTCATAAAACTAATCTGTGCTGCAGTCTTACACGGAAAAGTGCTGCTGACTGCAAAAAGCAGAGAATCTCTTATTTATGTGCTTTTGTTTAAAACATTTTGTATTTCTGAAATACAGTGCCTTGCATAAATATTCACTACCCGTGAGCTGTTCCACATCTTTGTAGTGTTACAACCTGGAACTGAAAGTGACTTTGTTTTACATTTTTATTTGTAAATGATTCTGCAAACTATATTGATTTCGGGTGGCATGATGGTGCAGTGGTTAGTGTTGCTGCCTCACAGATCCAGAGTCCCTGGTTCGATCCTGAACTGATACTGTCTGTGTGGAGATTCACATCTTCTCCCCATGTCCATGTAGGTTTCCTCCCAAAGACATGCCAGGAGGTTGATTTGCTGGATGCTAAATTGCCCCTTTGTGTGTATAGTGCCTTGCAAAGGACTGGTGAGTGTATTCCCACCTCACACCCAGTGTTCCTGGAATAGGCTCTGGGTTTCCTCCCCAGTTTCAGGTATTAACACTAAAAAGGGTAAAGGTGTCAAGAGTGCTGAATACTTATGAATACTTTTTGTTTTTAACCACAGAACAGTAGACCACAGTTTGGCCTGGCTACATTCAGTTTGAGTGTTAATTTAAGTCATAGTATCAGTAATCTATTTCTATTTGTATTGTTCATCGTCTATTTGAATCCTAATTAATACAAATGAATAATTATTAATAAAAACAAAGATTTTAAAGATTTGAAGCATCAGTAAGTGGAATGATAAGAGTGGTACTGAGACTGGGGCTTGTGTGTGTGTTCATGTGTATTGTGTGTGTAGTGTATCTTGTGTATGTATTTTGTGTGTGTGTGTGTGTGTGTGGTTTACATATATTGTGAGTGTGTGTGTACTGTAGTGTTTATATATATTGTGTGTCTGTGTGTGGTGTATAGTGTGTATATATTGTGTGTGTGTGTGTGTGTGTGTGTGCGCGCGTGTGTATGAAGATGAGCCTCAGCCCCGGGGTTGAGTGTAGCCCCGCCCCCTCCCCCGCTGTCCCTCCTGCGCGAGCGGCCTCCAGTCGGATCCGCTGCCGGCCGGTGATAGTAAATGTGTATTATCCAAGATGGAGGACTGCTCGTGGTCCCTAGCCTAGCAGAAGCGCACTCTTTTTCCCCCGTCCGTGTCACTGTTTCCCTACAGCACACGGCCGGACTTATTCCCTACAATCCGCCAGAGCTGGAAGAAGCGGTTTTTTGGGCGTTTGGATATTAGCTCCGCGCTTTTTTCCACAGTCATGAGCTCGGGGGAAGGAGCCGAGGAGGCGGCGAAGGACGCAGCCGACATCGCAGCCTTCTTCAAATCCGGTGAGCGCTCGAATAAGTGACCGAGATTGAAGTGAGCTCCCAGGCTCCGTGCTGTGCTCGTGTGAGCGCAGAACAGGCGAGAAACACCGCGTTGTGCAGCTGTTATTAGTGAAAAGTGGGTGAATTAACCGGAAATAACTTGATGGGGTATTTTGTGGCTGTGGAAATGAGCCACTGATTAGCCAGATCTGAAAGCCTGAGAGCTGCACTAGCTAACTCATTCACCTGAGAGGTGTCCAGTTACACACATAAACCCGTCTGACACACTCTAATGTGCCAGTGGCTGCTTTTTTGGGTGCAAAACCATCATTTGTTGAATAACTAGACTTATTTTAAAGTGGGAAATAAAATCTAACCCTAGCTAGCTGCATTATCTTAGCTAGCTGTGGCGAACAGGACGACTAGCACTGGTACTATTAGCCTGTTACCTAGTATGGGTGTGTGTGTGTGTGTGTGTGTGTGTGTGTGTGGGCCACCTCTTAGCTGCCCTGCACCACTTCTATACTTTATTCTCATTATTACAGGTATAGATATGACTAAAAACCACCTCCCAGTCCAGGCATGTTGTCATTTGCTGTCCTGGCGCTAGTCTGCTGGATAAACACTGCTGCTGTGTTTCATTTCATCAACCTGATTCAGTGACACAACTAAAGCAATAAACAAATCCAACACACACTTCACTGGGGCTGACTCAGTTATTTGGAAGGGCAGATAATAATTTTTTACAACATTCCAGACTGTAATAAATCCAACTGGATGAAACAGCAGTGTATGTTAGCTAGCAATGTAAACAATGACCTGGCGTGGCAGATTGGCCTCGCAGTGCTAGCTAGCTGCTAACACTTAGCGCTTTAGCTGTGCACAGGAGAGCAGTTTAATATACAAATCACTGTTTTTAAACATATAGAAGGCTGATGTGACACTGAGGTGCTGCGATCATACACATAATGTGATCTTAGGTTAAATTTGGGAAGCTAAGATCTTCTCTGACCCAAATATGTGTATATGTGTGTGTGTGTGTGTGTGTGTGTATGGGCGGTATCCTTTTACAGCTAGCTGTCCTATTTAGGATTTTAAGATTGATTGTTCATACTCCTGGTTAATATAATCCATAATTTCAGATTCAGCATTGATTAGTCAAAGTAATATGTGATTTCAGTGTTAATTTTGAAACTCTGGATGTGTTTAATCCTATTAGAGGTTGTATCTACTATTCTGACTGTACATACAGTCTATACATATGTGTATATTTACTTTATGTAATGATGATAAAGTCTGATCTAATGGTTAAGTGAGGAATGCCACACGTCAGGGTGTGCTGTTATAGGAATATAATCCAAGTCGAGATGGTGTGATGTGGCACAAAGCCACTCTTAACACAATGAAGCGGATTATTTTTCCTGTAACAGCATGCCCGATGTGTTTTATTCCTCTTATACCACAGCAATTCGCCAACTTTTACAATTCTTAATATAATTTATAATTAACAAGCGACTTGGTGATTTATAGATACAGTCGCCCTCCACATTCACAGGAATAACATTCAAGGATTTGATTATTCGCACGTTTGCCATCAATAATTAAATGGGAATTTTTATGTATTATTAATCTGTTTGTCATTTACTACTCTAAATGTATACACAAATTTATTATAAGAAGTTACATTTTGTAAAAAGTTTCAGTGCGCTAAAGAACTGCGGACTATGCACTCTGCTTGGGGACGCCACACTCTTTATCTCGGTTCTAGCCAGCCTCACTCACCTGTTTTGTCTCTCAATTTTTTGCATCTTTAAAGTGCAATAAAATATTGCCTGTAATCATGGGTTATAAATGTTAAGATTTTACAGCTATCTAAATACTGTTCACGCATTGCATCACACGGTACGTGTACCGTATTGCCTGTCTGTCTCACTCTGTGTGTGTGTGATGTTCCACAATCCTGTGCCACTAACCCCGGCAAACGTGGAGAACCGAATCTACATTTAATGTTGTGGAACATCTGTGAGACAATTTAGTTCCTCTTATCACTTGCGTTATAGCAGCTATAAACAGCCGTTCCCTAATAAGACAGAAATGCTTTCTGCGTTAATGAAAAACTGTAAAAAGGGGCAAAGTCCTTTTTCCTGAAGATTCTCCGTGTGGAAAACTTACTGACTGTTGCGAAGCACAGATTTCCATGACTCCTTTGATAAATCTTAAATAAAGGTCTTCATACAGAAAGCTTCACCATATCAATGATTTTCCTTTGTTAAATAACTCATTTTTAAATCTGTGTATTATTATCCTTTATAGCCTCAGGTATTGTCAGAGGTGCTGTTATGGATAATTAATCAACACCTTCATACCGGTCAGATTTTGACATTCAACAGTGCGTTGGTATAAAAATGCCTTAAACCAACGCAGGTACTTTTCCTTGCAGTTTGTCTGCCTGTGATGAACGAAC